AAACGCGCTATTCTCATAGGAGAAACTAAGCGAGCTATAGCTTGCTCAACAGATCCCACCTCACGGCAAGAATCCCTCCGGAAAGTTACTAAATTGTTTGTTGACAACAAATACCCTAGGAAATTTGTAAGAAATGTTATAAGAAGATCTGCTAACTCCAATTCGACTAGAGATGAAGAGATGAGATATATTTATCTAAAATTGCCATTTACTGATGAAGAGTTTAAAAGACGGGCGCAAGCGGTGGTACGACGATCTGGTATAAGTATAACATCAGATTACAGTATAGGAATGGTACACCATCAGCTAGGGAATTTGCTCCACCTAAACAGAAATTGAATTGTATGGAAGAATGTGAGACGTGTAAATCTGGTAAGAAATCTAACCAATGTTTAAGAAAGAATGCTGTCTATGAAATCACCTGCTCACATTGTGGAATCTTGTATATTGGCGAAACGGGCAGAACAATAGGATCACGCATTAAGGAACATTTGACAATGGAGAAACAAACAGTCTATAAGCACTTGGAATCACATAAAGAAACAGGACATGCACCGAACCATGATGATATAACTTGGAGAATCTTACATTCAAATATCAAATTCGCCGACGAAAGGAAATGCATTGAAGCATTCGAAATACAAAAGAAATCGCATAACATCATGAACGGTTGCATAGGGAGAACAATAACAATTTAGGACCCTTGATTTTAATTTTAATTTGAATTGTTAATTTTTAATGGGAGCAATTAGGCTCCACGGAATTCAATAGGCACTTTTATCAAATTTTAATAGGAACAATTATAGACTCTAGAGAATTCAATACTAGGAATTTTTAATTATTGATGTACAGTATAAAAATAGGGTGTGTAATATTACTGTAAAGTTTTATCTACTGAAGAAGCCTTGATCGGCGAAACGTCTAGATATTAAATATAACAATATTTTATGTCTGTTGAAATTCCATCCACAAGGAACCTTCACATAATATATCACAGACATGATGCCTGACATGAACCACAACAGTCTGTTTCATCCGTATAGGAATCATCAGGTGGTCTGACCTGATGATTCCTATACGGATGAAACAGACTGTTGTGGTTTTTTGAGGTAAAACGAAAAACTATATTACGCTCTATCTATATGATATTGAGCACTGTTTGTGTTTCGTAAACCAAAATCTTAAGCTATATATATATATATATATATATATATATATATATATATATATATATAATTCAGTCAAGGTTTGAATGTTTGCGTCGCTACTCTGAGTTTCACGCTTTACGCGATCATCAGGCAACTGACAGATATTATTCAATATTCATAATAAATATAGGTATCTGGTTACATGATAAGTAGTTTCTCCTCGAGGCATAAATTACACCGTTTAGATCCTGGTTTGTATGTATATATATACAGGAATTTACGGTAACAGCTCAACAACTGTTCTCTGTACCTCAGTCGGTTAGAGCGCCGCACCGGAATCGCAGGGCCGTAAGTATATAAAGCAGCAAACAGCAACATGGTTTAGATCCAACTTGCTTTTTTTGAATCGCCATCCCTCGTTCGTTATAATCTTTAGCCCGTTACGTTCTATAGGTCATTTTAAATTAAGTTTCGTATAAGAAGCAACATCCACATGGCCTGGGTCGAGTTGTTTTTCTTGAATTTTTAGAGCTTGTTGGTAATAATAATTAGCCTGCATGGTCCACGTTACTTTTTCTCCACCAAACTACAACACTGTTATCATACGAAACTGCAACATCAACATGGTTTGGTCCTTAGTTGTTTTTCTTTAATTTTCAGTGCTCGTTGGTAATAATCCTTAGCCCGGTGCAGCTCACCTTTATCATAATGCACAAGGCCAATGTTATTATAAGAATCTGCAACATGAACATGGTTTGGACCTAGCTGTTTCTCTCTAATTTCCAGTGCTCGTTGGTGATAATCCTTAGCCTGGTCCAGCTCACCTTTTTTATGGTACACTGAGCCAATGTTGTTATAAGAAAATGCAACATCAACATGGTCTGGACCTAGCTGTTTCTTTTGAACTTCCAGTGCTCGTTCGTGGTAATCCTTAGCCTGGTCCAGCTCACCTTTTATACGGTACACTAAGCCAATGTTATTATAAGAAACTGCAACATGAAAATGGTTTGGACCTAGCTGTTTCTCTCTAATTTCTAGTGCCCGTTGGTAATAATCCTTAGCCTGGTCCAGGTCACATTTACCATAAAACACTAGGCCAATGTTGTTATAAGAAAATGCAACATCAACATGGTTAGGACCTAGCTGTTTCTTTTGAATTTCCAGTGCTCGTTCGTGATAATCCTTGGCCTGGTCCAGCTCACCTTTTTTACGGTACACTGAGCCAATGTTGTTATAAGAAAATGCAACATCAACATGGTTAGGACCTAGCTGTTTCTCTTGAATTTCCAGTGCTCGTTGGTGATAATTCTTAGCCTGGTCCAGCTCACCTTTTATACGGTACACTAAGCCAATGTTATTATAAGAAACTGCAACATGAAAATGGTTTGGACCTAGCTGTTTCTCTCTAATTTCCAGTGCTCGTTGGTAATAATCCTTAGCCTGGTCAAGGTCACATTTATCATAATACACTAGGCCAATGTTGTTATAAGAAAATGCAACATCAACATGGTTAGGACCTAGCTGTTTCTTTTGAATTTCCAGTGCTCGTTCGTGATAATCCTTGGCCTGGTCCAGCTCACCTTTTTTATGGTACACTGAGCCAATGTGGTTATAGGAAAAAGATGCATCAACATGGTTAGGACCTAGCTGTTTCTCTTGAATTTCCAGTGCTCGTTGGTGATAATCCTTAGCCTGATCCAGCTCACCTTTTATACGATACACTACGCCAATGTTATTATAAGAAACTGCAACATGAAAATGGTATGAACCTAGCTGTTTCTCTCTAATTTCCAGTGCTCGTTGGTAATAATCCTTAGCCTGGTCCAGGTCACCTTTATCATAATACACTAGGCCAATGTTGTTATAAGAAAATGCTAGATCAACATGGTTTGGACCTAGTTGTTTCTTTTGAATTTCCAGTGCTCGTTCGTGATAATCCTTAGCCTGGTCCAGCTCACCTTTTTTACGGTACACTGAGCCAATGTTGTTATAAGAAAATGCGACATCAACATGGTTAGGACCTAGCTGTTTCTCTTGAATTTCCAGTGCTCGTTGGTGATAATCCTTAGCCTGGTCCAGCTCACCTTTTATACGATACACTAAGCCAATGTTATTATAAGAAACTGCAACATAAAAATGGTTTGGACCTAGCTGTTTCTTTTGAATTTCCAGTGCTCGTTGGTAATAATCCTTAGCCTGGTCCAGGTCACCTTTATCATAATACACTAGGCCAATGTTATTATAAGAATCTGCGATATGAACATGGTTTGGACCTAGCTGTTTCTCTCTAATTTCCAGCGCTCGTTGGTGATAATCCTTAGCCTTGTCCAGGTCACCTTTATCATAATACACTAATCCAATATTGTTATAAGAAATTGCAACATCAACATGGTTTGGACCTAGCTGTTTTTCTTCAATTTCCAGTGCTCGTTGGTGATAATCCTTAGCCTGGTCCAGGTCACCTTTATCATAATACACTAGGCCAATGTTGTTATAAGAAATTGCAACATCGACATGGTTTAGACCTAGCTGTTTTTCTTCAATTTCCAGTGCTCGTTGGTGAAAATCCTTAGCCTGGTCCAGGTCACCTTTTTTACGGTACACTGAGCCAATGTTGTTATAAGAAATTGCAACATCAACATGGTTTGGACCTAGCTGTTTCTTTTGAATTTCCAGTGCTCGTTGGTGATAATCCTTAGCCTGATCCAGCTCACCTTTTTTCTCGTACGTTATGCCAATGTTGTTGTAAGAAACTGCAAGACCAACGTGATTTGGACCTAGCTGTTTCTCTTTAATTTCCAGCGCTCGTTGGTAATAATCCATTGACTGGTCCAGATCACCTTTTTTACTGAACACTAGGCCAATGTTGTTATAAGAAACTGCAACATCAATATGGTTTGGACCTAGCTGTTTCTCTTGAATTTCTAGTGCTCGTTGGTAATATTCCTTAGCCTGGTCCAGGTCACCTTTCTTACTGCACACTAGGCCAATATTATTATAATAACTTGCAACATTAACATGGTTTGCACCTGCCTGTTTCTCTTTAATTTCCAGTGCTCGTTGGTAATAATCCTTAGCCTTGTCGAATTCTCCCATTTTTGTGTATGAAACGCCAAGCTCGTTGAATGTAATGGCCCTGTAACTATGATTTTCTGAATCTCTCAAGATCTGAAGATTTGTATTGTGAAATTTGACAGCCAATTGATACTCACAGTAGCCATTTAAAGTTTTCCCAAAATAGTGATATATGGCATATATTTTACGTTTTTCAAAGCCTAAGCTAATTGAATATAACGAGTCTTGTTCGACAAATTGTTTTTTCATTGCTGTATTAAGTGCCTTCAAATGCGGAATCATTTTGATTTGATCGTCCCTGTGATGGAAATGATAAAGTGCTTTTAGAATATTCTTAACTCGGCATGAAGCGTCAACTTTCGCTCTTTCATTTGCAATTCCAGACTGAGTATAATATGTAGTTTGCGGTCCTTTGCAATCACTTAACAATTTAGTTGCTTCCTGGACAACACGATGAAGCGAGACATCGGAATCTTCACTTTCAGTAAGAAGGAAAAGTGAACAATCTTTCAATGCCAAATAAATTTCCTCTTTTTCATAGTTTTGATTAAGTTCCTGAATGTATTTGACAATGATATCAGCAGGTAGCGGTTCAAAGGAGATCAGACTAAAAAGATTGAAGGTGTGATCTAGAATGAAATTGCTTTCTGCACATTTTTCAACAGCTAGGGGGACCGCCGCAGACATGGTGAATGGATAGGCTGAATTAGTTTTGCGAAGCTGTTCCTCGGTGGCTTTTCTTTTACTTTTTAACTTCTCTAAATAATCTTGCCATGAAAACGTTGGACAACATTTTGTCTGGATGACTTTCTTGAAGTATACAGCTGCGGCGGCCATAGCCAAAGGTTGGTGGTCTAATTTCTCGGCAACTTCATCAAATAATGGTTCATTAGCATCAGTTCCTGATAATATGGAAAGTAACTGACGACATTCTTGGTCATTCATGCCACGACTGAGTGAAATATGCCTAGTGAACAGACTGTCAGAAGGGACAGCATTTGTATTCTGAATTGTTAATATAATTTGACCATTACTCCAAACTTCGTCACCCATTTGAGGTAGTAAGGGTGAAATATCATCGAGATTTTCCACATTGTCTACTACAATCCACCACCTTTTCCAGTTCTTGATTCTGCTTTCAATCAGTGATCTTAAATCTTCGATCTTTTCGTTGTTTGTTTTGGATGAATTGATTACATTTCTCAATACACTCTCAGAACAATTTAGACGTCGGCAGAAATCTTCATACGAGTGATAGAGAGTGTCTAAATCTTTTCCGTGCAGAGTCATTACAAAGGTTGTCTGTGTTTCAAAATTTACGTCTTTGAACAAATCATCTCCCAGTTGCCGGGATAGCTGCGATTTTCCACTTCCGGGATTTCCGGAAATGTAGAAATATGTAAGTTTGCTGTCGCTATCAATGCGTAACGTCTGGAGTTCTTGTTGTATTTCCTTAACCTTCTCAGAACGGTAAACAACTTCGTGGGTTGGCTTTGAAGGTAAAACTTTAAATGATTTGTAAAGGTTTCTCTTCATTTTCATTTGCATGATATCATTAATTGGAATACTGAGGGCTTTAAATGCCTTTTCGAGATCACTGATCATGGTTTGGAAGTCAGCATCAGATAGGGTTGCTTCTTCAGCATGCATAATTTTATTTCGCATATTTCGAATATTGTCCACTTCAATCTTAATTATTGGTTTAAGGCTTGATTTACCAATCGAGTTTGAGTACAGAATTGCGTCAAAAAGCACAGTGCAATCCCATTGATTCGTATCTCCATGTTGAAATTTTGCCTGGTACATGTTCTTGTGTGGTCTTGATCGTGCATTTTCCAGGAGAAACAACTGCAGTCCACTTACGTTGGTGTCATCCCATGCTCCGAAACTTGCCTGATAACGAGTATTCCATTCGTTTTTAAAAACTTTCCTCAATCCTTCAGTGACAACATCAATGATAATATTCTGGATACAAATGTAGTTTCGTTTCTCTTCGCTTTCCCATGGTACATCTGACATATTGGGAGCTAAAATGTTTGAAAAATATCTTTAGCATAAAGAAATAATATCGAAATATATTGTTTCAAATATAGAAAATGTATTCTTTTATTTCGTTTATCTGATTAATTAAGCCTAGTTTTTCTCTTTTAAAAAATATTTTGAGGCTGAGTGTGTGGCAGGAAATCGTGCCAATGAATGGGAGATTTATGGTAATAAAGGTATATGCCATGCACGCTGCTCGTTTGGCCAAAAACATGCTCACGCACTCTAATTGATTAGTGTAATGTCTTTAATGTAATATTTAATTTATTTTTGTTCAGTGCGATGACTTTGTTAGCACTTGTTGTTTAGTGACACCCTTTAAAATAACGTTTTCTTTCTATCTGCCGTCTCAAACATGAATGCATGCACTGCTTCAAGATTTTGTCTTGCTTACAGCTAAAGGGCACTTCCCTGCATTTGCTCAAAAATCTTGGTGAATCGGTACCTTTTATTACTATTGGCAAGTTTATGGGATAAAAAATAAGACATTAACAATTTTGATTGAAAAAAGTGGTAGTATTTTTGCCCGCGCCGTGACGTGAATTGTGCCTTCTGATTGCCCGAGGAGAGTTTATAACACAATACGGATTTCTCGCGTTTCCCCTAAAACAAACGTACGAGTGAAGTCAATTTTCAGACTCATTGACTCTCTAAAATGGCTTCAATGGATTTAGTGTCAGGCCCAAAATGTATACTTTTTCCGGTCCCAACAAATTTCGAAAAAAGTACTTTTTTACATATACCAACAGTTACAACTGAACGTTAATTTAACAAGGATAGAATCAGCTTTTATCAGTCATAGGAATTGTTATGTAAGCACATTTTGTACGTTGGCAGCATATAATTTACGATAGCTATAATTATTAAACAGTTACCAAGTGAACGAGAAGACGATCTTAAATCATATTGAAGCAATGCTGACGGGATCGAACTGTAATTCGTAAAATACAAACAGTCACTTCAGCTCATACTGTTGTGAAATTAATGCAAGAACATCGATAATATAACATGTTGCTAAAGAAATCTCAATAACAGGAAGAAAATTAACGCCTATATATACGACCTTAATACAATCTATCACACAGCTTTGAGCTTGGTTCCTATATAAGGGATCGGTCGTAAAGTAATTGCTAGGATGGGCCAGATTGCGCAAATGGATGGGCCATGAAACACATATAGCATGTTTGCACTCAATACATGCTATAACTACTACACATAACTGATTCCTATTAGAAGAATCAACAACCAATTAATTTGTTCTATAAAGGTATGAGAAAGTGACTCAGTGCATGGTTCGATTAAAGTGACTGCTGTACTGTACATATTCAAGTATAGCAGCAAACTATACCAACTTGGCCTGAATATTGTTCAGCTTTGATATTCAAGTTAACGCGTTATGATAAGCACTTCTATGGTCCCAATAAGCTATATGTCTTACGCCGTGGTTATATTAATGTCTTATATATTGTATATATTGAATTTATTACAAAATCTGAATGGCAGCTAAGAGCTGAATTGTACAGAGTTGACAATTAAAATACATGGTAAAACTAATACATATGGTAATATACGGTATATTAAGACTAAAATTTATATTACAATTAAAATGAATCATCATATGATACGATACTAGAAGGAATAAAACTTTTACTAAATCTTGTAGTCTTACAATTAATTAAGTTAATATGCTGATCATTACGTAGATTGTAAGTACGTAAGTCTTCGCGTTTAATAAGGAATAAGCTCATTCAATTTATTTTCCGGGTTGAGAAGTTTCTTAAAATAGGATTTACATAAATTATTTCGTCTTTGAGAGAGCAACGATATTTCATGAAGTTCCAAGGCTTTGCGGTATGACAGGTCAGGACATATTATTCGTAAGGCTCGCTTCTGAATTCGTTTGATTTCTTCCTTTAAATAGTCAGGGGAGTTTAAGTTCCAAACCTGGCATGCATATTCAAGCACAGGTCGTATACATGTGGTATAGACTTGAATTAGAGAACTCCCTCCAAGACCGCTGCGTTTAAGCACTCGGAGAAAAAAAGTCTCTTTGATGCCTTGTATACTGTGTGTTCAACATGTAAGTTCCAACTAAGATCAGAAGAAAAGTACAGACCAAGAACCTTTGCTGATAAAACTGGAGACATACAGTGATCTTTAATAAACAATGGTCGAAGATTAGGGACGTCCTTAGCGAACGAGATAATTAGCTCTTTGCATTTAGAACGATTAAGCATCATATCATTTTCCGTGCACCATTGATCGATATTATTAATAACGGATTGCAGGTTACTTTGACAACCTTTACCGATTGTTTCGGAGAGACTAGTGTCGTCAACATATTTCCATCTATCTTTGTGGTTAATAGCCAAATCGTTGACCATGATGAGGAAGAGTAATGGGCCAAGGATTGTACCTTGCGGGACGCCTCCATTTACCAAGGACCAATCAGAGAACGAAGAACCCAATTTCACCCTCTGTCTTCTTTGCATCAGGAAATCAATTACCCAGTTTATTAAGGATATATCAATATTTAGTAATTGCATCTTTTTTATCAGGATTTTGTGGTTGATTCTGTCGAATGCTTTACTAAAGTCAAGCAGAAAAATACGAGCAGTCTCGCCACTGCCGTCCGTGTTAGAATACCAACAGTGGAACATGCTAATTAATGCATCTATCGTAGAAGAGCCTTTTAGCGATCCGAATTGCTTTGGGTCCAACTGAGATTTAATGGCATCCATAATCCATTGAAATGGAAATGATTCAAGAACCTTTGAGAGCGTGGCGGTCAGAGATATAGGTCGCAGGTCTGAAGATATATCCGTGACCGAGGATGTCTTAGGGACGGGAACGACATTTGCTTCTTTCCACTGCATTGGAACTTGTGCTTGTTTAATGGAGGCATTAAAAATCATTGTCACAGGTTCTGAAATCTCCATTGAAAAGTTATTGAGAATCCAATTTGGCAGAGAGTCTGGACCAGGAGCTTTATTCGATTTAACTGCTTTTAAGCGCGATTCGACATCAACAACGGAGATGGGGTACAAAACAGTAGGTTCTTCCACAGATAATTTATCAGTAATTGGAAACGGCGGTAACGATTTAGTGGCGGCTAAAAACCCGTTATTAACAGCGAGTGCTAAGTCTCGTCCCTGCAAGATAGTTCCATTCACCTCTGCAGAATGGAAGGCAGGCTTTAAAGAAAGGCCAGCTAGGTTTTTAATAGTACTCCACCATTTCCTTGGCTTTGAATTTTTTAGATGATTCACTTGAGACTCGAAGTATTTAGACTTTGCCTGTTTCACGACGTGAATTAATTAATTTCGCAATTTGTTGTATTCCACGGAATTGTAAACACGCGTTGCGTGTATTCCACGGAATTGCGTGGCTCATTTTGCTCGCGCATGCTCAGACAAATTTCCCACCTGTTCTGGAAAAAACAAAATTTTACAACATTGCTATTCCCTAAAGTATTCGTACTGTAGTATACTCTTTGCGTGACTGATATCAGACACAAGACAGTAAATATTATTTATAAAAATGATTGGGTAGAAGCTTAGTTTTTCGTACAGATGTTATAATGCGCCTAATGGACGACATGGTAACGCTGCCCGAACCCCAATCCGGGGCGAAACGTCCGAAACTGACCACACCCAGAAACGACGCTCTCGCCATAGTTCTTTCTATCAAACCATAAAAGCTTTGGCTATTCTGAGGTGTTTATATGATTCAGAGATCGTGCTTTTAAGGGTGGTCATTGGTAAGTGTGAAATGCTTAACACTGACATTTTACAAGAAAATGCCATGCAATACTCATAGTCAAACGTCAATTTGTGACTTACAAATTCAGATAAATAGCAGTGGACCTACATTATCTTTTTTCCTAAATCTTTTTTATAGAAACATAATTGGTACTTATTTAAGTATTTTATCACTGCATTTCTGTAAAATAGTTAATACTTTGTGACCGAAATAATAATTTGAAATGTACCTACCTCCTGCAAATGGACGTATTTGGCCAAATCTCCAATTTATTCCGCTGTTTATCCCCAATATCGTTGAAATCCTTCCGAATATGTACGGCAGCTCAGACATAATGGTATCAAGCACATTTTAAACAAGTTTTAAATAAGTTTCAAGTAGATTCAAGCTGTCTAACCATCAACAAAGTAAAACCACAACTTTTTCCAATTCGGCGCAATTTTGTCTTCCCATGTCGGTTTGTCAACTATTCGACCTTGTTATTCTTCCATCCAAGCCATTTTTATTCCACTAATAACAAATTGAACCCTTTGTTAAAGGTATCAAAATAAATATGTAAACAAAATTGAAAAAATGCAGCATTTTATCACACCCTGTAAAATGTTGCTCACGAGTCTTTCAAAACATTCCGTACAAATCTCGCGTGGCCAAACAGCACAAGTGTTGGAGACTTTGAAGATTAAACCAAAGAAAAAGCACGCAGTAATAGCAGTGCTGTAAGACCAACAATCAACATTTAATTTATAGAATGACATATTCATATGGTCGCTACAAGAAATAAAGCAAACGTTTGTAAGATTGTATTTAGTTTTAGTCCATTTCACGCAGCCTTCTTCAATCTTCGTGAAAAAATCACCCCTCCCCCCCTGTCACGGCCTTGTTGCTTTGCCACGCGAGATTTGTACGGAATGTTTTGAAAGACTCGTAAGCAACATTTTACAGGGTGATAAGATGCTGCATTTTTTCTATTTTGTTTACATATTTATTTAGATACCTTTAACAAAGGGTTCCATTTGTTATTAATGGAATAAAAATGGCTTGGATGGAAGAATAACAAGGCCGAATTGTTGACAAACCGACATGGGAAGACAAAATGGCGCCGAAATGAAAAAAGTTGTGGTTTTACCTTGTCGATGGTTAGACAGCTTGGATCTACTTGAAACCTATTTAAAACTTGTTTAAAATGTGCTTGATACAATTATGTCTGAGCTGCCGTACATATTTGGAAGGATTTCAACGTGATTGGGGATAAACAGCGGAGTAAATTAGAGAATTTGGCCAAATACGTCCATTTGCTGGAGGTAGGTACATTTCAAATTATTATTTCGGTCACACAATATTAAGTATTTTACAGCAAAGCAGTGATAGTATACTTAACTAAGTACCAATTATGTTTCTATAAAAAAGCTTTAGGAAAAATGATAATGTAGGTCCACTGCTGCTTATTTGTATTTGTAAGTCACAAATTGTCGTTTGACTATGAGTATTGCATGGTCATTTTCTTGTGAAATATCAGTGCTAGGCATTTCACCCTTACCAATGACCACCCCTAAAATCACCATCTCCAAACCATATAAGCACCTCAGAATAGCCAAAGCTTTTATGGTTCGGTAGATAGAACTATGGCGAGGGCGTCGTTTTTTGGTGTGGTCAGTTTCGCCCCTGATTGGGGTTTAGGCAGCGTTACCATGTCGATCATCATGGCCAACTTGCCCTAAACCAGTTGATATAATCTGTCCTAAATGAAATGCATAGAAACTCATATGCAGGTCCTAGACTATAGGTAATAACAACGTTTCGAGTGCAATTTGGATATAACATGCACGAGTGAGTTATTCAAAGACCTCAAAATAGCACGAGTCCGAAGGACGAGTGCTATTTGAGGTCTCTGAAAAACTCACGAGTGCATGTTTATCCAAATTTCACCAGAAACCATGCTATTACTTATTAAAATTTGCATAAAAATGTTCGAGACAATTGCAGTACGTTTTAACTTACGCGTTTATAGCGAACATTCCACTGGCAAAGTTTCCCTGGCTTTATTTATATAACATTATACAACGCTAACAGCTTGAAAATTCCACTCAACTATGTAATTTTTGTCAGTCTAGATCTTGTTTAAGGTAATTGCTTTTCCATTTAAAAATAAAGATATGAGCCATATTTTCCACGGGAAAGCAACTTTTATACTTTGCGTAGCGCGGCGCCATGTTTGTTTTGTTTTCAAGCAATCTGTGACCGTTACTTCTTTAAACTAAATTGCTTTAAACTGAATGGTTGATTTAATCATCACAATGTTTTTCTACCAATCTGATCAGTTTGTTACAGATTTTTGCACTGTAATTACAGAAAATTGCACTGTGATTACCAAAGATTGCACTGTGATTGCAGAAAATTGCGCTGTGATTACAGAAAATTGCACTGCTGTTTGGGATTAACTGCACTGAAATCAACCAATCACAGTCGAGTAATATCTTTGTGTATATTATAAGGCACGTTACACATTCAGCGGTTTTCAAACAATTTACAATTTAGTCATACTTTGCTTTCATCTGGTTAAAATAGTTCTCAATTTATTCCCTTTGAAAAACTTTGAATGATCCAATTGGAAACGCAAGAACAGAAGTAAATACAAAGCGTTGTTATTTATAGCTGCATTTTCATTTATATCAAGCAACTAATATTAATTATTATGTAGGCTACTGTATAATCTAGAATACCGAGAAATACATACACGTTTATTTGCTAGTTTATAAGGTTAAAATATATATACTTTTATTGCAAGTGTGGTAGCTTTTCGTTTGATCCCCACAATAAGAGCAAATTACGCGTTCTATCTAGTGTTTTGTTCAATCAAATTCATATATGGCAGTGGGCTCATCTCTAAATTTAGTTATTGCGTAATGTCAACCTTTTCACGACCCACTCTTCCTATTTAGAAACGTATGTTTTTAAATATAATCTTATCTGTCTTATATACACACGAACGTCTACACGTATTCACCGTCTCTACCCATCAAAATTCTTCCTTTTCATGATCATAAATTATTTCAATATTCTTCCTTGCATGGACAGCCTCTCTACACTTTGGTTTGAACTACTTTGCAGCATGATTCAATGGAACAGTTTCTTGATTACTTTCTCTATCACAATGCAATTCCAAAGGGTAAAGAAATTGTATTGGTCTTTCCATGAATGATTTTCCTGCACGTAGTCTAACTCCACGAAACACTCAGACTCTTCCGGGTATAAGTTGTTCAACAATCCCAATTTTCCACAGTCCACGATTCTTTTATCACCTTTGATCAACACAACATCACCCTTTCTTAGATCTCTCTCTTTCCCGTCATGTGTCAAATTATACCTTTCGCGAAGTGCTCTCATGTATTCTCGTTTCCATCGTTGCCATAACGCGTCCTTACATTTCTTCAAATACTTCGCCCTCTTTCGCAAGTATCGTTCTTCTATATCCTCAGGTGATAACTCCATAAGATAATTAACAGTTATTCTACGAACTCGAGTCGAATATGAGCTGATAGCCAATGAGGCGCGTAGCGCCGAATTGGCTATCGCTTATATTCTACAAGGTCTGAATTCACAGACTTTGCTTTTCGAATATTTTCAATATTTTTCTATTTTGTTTATGTTTTTATCTTCGCTCTTTCGGCCGATTATTTTTTCAAAAATATATATTTTTAAACCATTTTAAATTTTAAACATAGTATAACCTAGCTGAAAGCAATTTGTGTGAGTTTTTCGTTTTTAATCCTGTAAAGGCCATAAAACGCGACAACTAGCCGTTTTCTCGCTTGCAAAACATCGTAAATTCAGTTTGGCCGCTATTTTGTTTTCTCGGCGTCAACACGGGAAGTTGAATGTTATTCTCGCAGTACGATAATGGTCGATTGTTCAATACGTGTTCAATACATTGTGATATATGACAAAAATTTTCGTTTCAAAGTGTAATCAGCCTTCAATAAATAAGAGGCGTAGTATTAGGAAATCGGCACAAAGTTCATCAACGTTTGCAAACAACAAATCTAATGGCATATTTTAGGAACAGATAAAAGTGAAAATGTACAAACGTTGACGACTGACCAGTTTGATATGAAAATATGTTTGTGAGAGAATATACAACTTCAAAGTTTAAATTAAAGTATACATTTTATTTGTTTCTTGACTTGACTGTTAATAAAATGCTGCAGTGTTTTTTGTAATTTAAAAGCAAACAGAACTATAAAATCGAAGTTAGCGGGGGCTTCGAACTATGTATCGTAAAATCCCTTTCCTGATATTTGAAATCTAACTTTTTTTATGAAAGCATATAATTTGATACCTTGCTTCCCTCTTGGCCAATTAATTTTTTTCGAATCACGTGACCAGCATTTATTTTTTTTATTTATTATTTTTTATTTATTTAATTTGCCCAAAATAGCTATAATTACATTAGTTTTCGATTATAATTACATTACAGGGCTAGGAGACTACCAGAAATCTCTACAGGCTTTTATTTTAATCCCCTAGGTTACAATAATACTAATAGATTATATAATAAAGTTTTTGACAGTTCGAAACTTAAAACAAAACAAATTATGAATATAGACTATAGTACTATTTACAGTGCTAAGAAGTTGATTCTTGTATATATAGTCTAAGAATATATAATAT